TAACAATGGAAATTCCACATTACCATGGTGTGGGCCAGGCTGATTGCGTCCGAGCGTGATTGTGCACGATTGTGATCCAGAAGGTTAGGCTGAGGGGGGCGGAAGCTAGCATCATGCAGCTTTGTGATGTTCTCATATCCGCTGCTGCGAGGTGTAGAGAAGTGGCAGGACAGAAAGTAGGTTCGTGAACCCATCTGTGTTGACCTTTGGGTGGGTGTTAATCCTTTTACCCGAGTGTATTTTCCCAGAGTATTCTTCGTTTCTGTCTCACATGTAGAACACCGATGCATGGATGTGGCCAAACGACCCAGTGCAGTACTTACATGCGCTTGAAATCTCGAGGCTGTGTGGCGTTCCCTGTAACACAACTACATTATTATTCATCCTTGAGAGAGAGGTCTAATAGCCACTTTTACAATTGTGAGCCAAGCGTGCTCGCCGCAGTACCACCTGGCCGGATTTACAAAAACGGTAATGTTTTCCAAAAACTTATAAATAAATTAATTCCGGGGAGCCGTTACAAGAATAATATTGAATCATCTTTTTGAGTTGGAGTGGTCCGGCCCGGCTTTTCAAGAGGCGTCCAATTCACTGTGGCCCCAAGCTCATTGCCGCTACGACCGTAATGGTTTTATGAGTGAGACTTCGGGGGCGGTCGGGGCTCAGGGGAAGCGGGGTATGAACGTCTGCTTACAAAAAAACAACCCGACGAAGATTCAGGTGGCGATAATGTCCGGGGCAATTTTGCACAGCTGCAGCTTCCCGATTCGGCGCCCTTATTGAATGAAAACGCGTTTCATTTTACATCTGTACATTTTTAAACGTTCCCGATAAGGTCACGTACGGTACGGTTAATGTCCCAACAAATTTGATGGCCGTTTGAAGTTTGAACCCTTGACTTCGGCTCAGTGTGCTCAATATAGTCACTCCTGGCAGCCAAGGGAAACAAGCGTGGCCTCCTTGCAATGTTTCACTCGGGTGTAATCGGATCGCATTTCAGCCACATGGCGTGGGCAGCGCTGGATTCTGTCCTGATGATTCGAATGATACTTTGAACACGTTGGGATCACTCTCGATGTTCGTGGGTCTGTTCTCTTTAAAAAAAAAATCTCATCGTTGTTTACCCAGTGAAGCCTCCTCACTCGAGACTTTTTCAAGAGGGTCCTGCCAAGTTTTCGCAATCGGAGGCGATGTTGCTGCTGAAGTGTAATCCCAGTCGAGTAATTTATTCGGCGTTGGATGACTGGCCAATACAAGTTGCATTGTATCGGGTTTTTTTTTAAGCGATGGAAGGAAACCGGACAACACTCGGAACAGGAGGAGAACATACAGACTCCACAGAAAGGCACCCGAGTTGGAGATCAAACTCAGGCCCTTCTCTCTGTGACGCACGAGGGTTACCGCCGCGCCAACATTTCGGTGGCCGAGCGCGTTCGGCGTTTGCGACCACCCCGATTGCCCGTCTTGGCGAAGCGACCCGCATCGAGCGCTCGCGGACGGGTGCGGACTCTTGCGCTCCGCAGCAGTGTTGGGTCCGAGCAGCCGTCTGAAAAATTCCTTTGAAACAAGATAATGCGCATACCTGCCCCCCCCCCCATTATTAGCGTTATTGACGTGGGAACCGTAAGTGCTCGACGATGTCATTTTTCACCCGTTACGTTCTGGCTAATGAGAGACAGAGCCAAGCTCCTTGTCGTCCCTCCTCCTTGGGTTTTCCCCACTGTCCCACCACGTGTGTCTCGTTAGCAAGCGCCTCTGTGGACTTGGGCGAATTGATAGCACGGCTAAGGATGCCCGATACGCAGTCGGTGTACACTGCCCTAGCCCCCAAGCATAGCCACAACCCTCGGGTCAGGTGGCAGCAATTCTTGCCTCTTGACCAGCAATTCCTGCCAAGCGCTAGAATTCTATTGGTTACAATGCACCGCCACCACCTCGTTTCATAAATGATCCCACTGCTGTCCAAATACCCTCTCGAGAGGCTATGTAGAGCTCCTTCTATTGGGGGCCCTTCTGCCAGCATTGAGTTGAGCCAAGAAATTGCAGGGTTGCACCTTTACTTTTTCTCTCAATGCACCTTGGGTTTTAGGAACACCTTCGATTAGCACGGTTGACTACGTACGGTGCGAACGATGTTCAATATACATACATAGAGAGACAGACATATCACAAATACCAACCACTTCTTATGTTCAAGATATGTACCTAGACTGTGTGTCCTGGTCTGTCCAATGCAAGTCTGAAGCTTCATTAAGGACTAAAGACATTTTAAACTAATGGTGAAGTGTGCCATTATCTAGCACTTTGGTGCTATTTCTGCAACGTCACTCACGCGCAATGTAATGCAATGTTAGTACAGGGCAGATACGAGAGCACGCTATGGCGGTCATCATCAGTCATGGTCAATCCGCTGCTAGATGAAGCCCCCACCCAGCCCCCCCCCCGCCCCAAAACTGCCGCCACATCTGACGATCCTGCGATGCATCGGTCCTTCCCATGGCGGTGCTCTTGCCAAAATGCACCTCCAAAGTTGTGAGAGTAGGATATGAAAATTGTGCGGAGGTTGATGTTCGTAGCTTTTGTAAAATGTGTAAATGACGAGAAGAAAAAAAACACATCATAACACAATAATACTGCGTGCTGGAAAAAAACCCGTAAGTTTTAAACAACACACAAAAACGTGTTACAAGCGCACGGTGCCTCTCTTGTGGGTTTTATGCGTTCCGGTTTTCTCCCATGCACGGAATTGCTTGTGAAGTCCCGGTGTGAGACAGTGCAGCAAGTAGGTTGTTGACAGAATCTCTGTGCGGAGTTTGGTTGCTCTCCCGTTGAATGCGTGGGTTTGGTGCAGGCGTTTTGGTTTCCTCCCACGCACAAAATTGCTCGTAAAAAAAAAACTCGAAGGCATTTGTCAAACAACGTACGGCAAAAGGACACTCGCGCAAAAAACAAATGGTCTTAAGGCTCTGCGTCAATTTGCCGAATTATATTTTAATAAAAAACATGAAACACAAGATTTCGCACTGGTCACTCGACCTCCGGCCGGAGTCAGGACTGAGGTTGTTTCTGCGAGTGTAGGCGCTGCATTCGCCCCGGACTGCTGAGCTTGGCAGAGGCTTGCACATCCTCATCGTATTTAACTGCGTTCCACAGCACTGTGTACATTAAACATCTGGGAACCATTAGAGACACTGAAACCAAAATGTGCTACATTGTTTAGAGGTGTTTTTTTTTCTTTCACTCTGCACCGAGTTGAATACCATCTATACGTCTTTGCCCATAGTACTGCTGTTGAAATGTGCACGCTCAGCGCGTGTACTGGCATTTGTGCCTGCACACATTTGCGTATATATATTTGTTTGCGTGTGTGTGGGGAGTGGTAGTGTAGCGGTTAGCACGTTGCTCTATGAACCCGGCAACCCGGATGCGATTCCCTCTCACCGCCAATACCTTTGACGATTATCTGAACCGGTTCTGGACCTCCCCCGATGTCGACTCAGCCTCAAATGACTACCTGGTGCGGTGTGTACAAATTTTCACCAACCCCCTCGTGTGTTGTGCCAGCCCTCGTGGGTGCTCGCTAACAGCACTTGCCCCAACAGTCTGTTAAGGCTATACGGGGGGGGGGTGTCTTTGTCTTGTTTATACTGCTGCAATCAGGTTGTTTTAATTCGACGCTGTCCGTGTATACAGTACGCAATGCGGTTCACCTCATCTTTCACCGTGGAATGTAGCCTGTTGCTTTGCGAGTTGGAGGTTTTTTTTTTATGCTGTGCCGCCCCATCGGAATGGATGCGGCACCGGATTCCTCTCAAGAAGAATTCGCTAAATATTTGCGTCTCAGCGTCTGCCACTTTAAAAAGGTCCGAAATAGATTTTTATTTTGCATTTCTTGTCAGCGGGGGGGGGGGGGGGGGGGGGGGGGGGAGAGCCCATAAAACAACTGCAGGCTACGTGACCACCCGGCAAAGGGCTCGACAATGTCTTTTTTTTTGTTCCATCGCTTTTCCTTTCTGCAAAGTAACAAAACTTAAATTCCGCATGACTTACGATCACAATGTATATGATTACAGAGGCCGGGCATGACCCTCTTGGGATGTCACATATGCCGCACTCGAACATCAAGTTTAAGAGTAACTGACGTATTGGATTGTCGCGCTGCACTCTCGTTTTATTGACCGAAGAGAGTGATGCAAGCCAGAGTGCCTTTTTAACGCGCCGTCTTTGTAACCATAATAATTTTTGCCCTCTATTTGGTTGTCCGTTGGTTGAGCTGCGTTCGGCTCATTTGCAAGCGAAGCCCCATACGGTGTTCTGACATGTGTTTTCGCCGACACTGGCCAGCAATAGCCTCCTCGTTTGTTCGGTGACGTTACAGATTCTTCGCCGGTTAAGACTGCAGGTTAGCCTTGGTGGCCAGGCGGCTTGGAGGGTTAGAGTGCTGAACTGGCACTGCTGAGGTCCTGGGTCAGACTGCAGGCAACCAGCCGCCCATGTTTAAACTAGGATCTCAAGTGTTATGAGTTGATTGTCACCAGATTCAAAACCAGCCTCTAAGTTCAGTGCGCCTACTCTGAGCCATCACAGCCACGCAGTCACCTTATGTCATGTAGGTTCTGTATTAAAACACATTCCTGCGGAGGGAGCTGGTAGGAACGTTGGGTTGCTCGGTCAATGACCAGGGTCAATGGCGGCGTGGTGTATTCCGCAAATATGGCCAACTGAGGGCGGGCACAAGCCGGCGTGAGTAAGTTAAACGTTGAGTTTTATAAGGGCACCACGGGGTGACCAGCCCTTCCCCACCCAGCCCCTCCCCACCCTCCCCACCCAGCCCCTCCCCACCCTCCCCTCCCCACCCAGCCCCTCCCTCCCTCCCCACCCAGCCCCTCCCTGCACGACGGACGGACGGACACAATAATCCCCTAGTGGCTGGTGGAACCAGTGGGTTCCTACCAGTAAAAAATGTACGTGACATGTGTGCTGTTGCTGTTGCTCAACAGTTGCTACCCCTGGTGGAGTTGGCCATTGCGGACCCAAAGCTGCAGCAGTCGCCAGTCTTCGCGCAGCTCTCCGAGCTTCTGGCTCATTGGGGGCGGCGATCGGAGGACCCCGATCTCCCGCCAAACCAGAGGCAGGCTTACTGCGAGCTGCTCGCTGCATTCTGGGAAAGCGTCGGGAGCACGTGTTTGGGACAGGTGAACTCGCACGCACGCACACGAGCACGCACGCACGGCGGCGAATAATCGCGGTGAAACGCACCGCGTTGTTGAGAGATGCACAACTCTCAGAGCTTTGCCCAAAGGAATACATGACAAAGGCCTTCTTCTAATGTCAGGAGTTAGCTGTTCTTCTTGGTTCTTTCGGTAGAAGGGAAATAATAAAATAATAAAAATTAAACATTATAAAATACAATTGTAAAATACAAAAATCCCTGCAGTCACGAAAGCTTTAAATCGAGAGTTAGCTGTTGTCAGGCAGTGGATTCTGGATGAGCACAGTTCTGATTTTAGCAACCAAAAAGAGATTTATACAAGTCTCCGTATTCATAGCCAGTAATTGCAGCTAATATATATATTTTCATGAACTAGAGCTTTAAACGAATACATGTATTTCCTTTCTTTTGAGTAGACCAATGAAATACAATTTTTTTTGTGAAGTTAGCAGTGGTTGTCCTGCAAAAAGACTTGCCCCTGCCATGAGAATGTGGCGTTTAACCTCCATCCGTGCACACCAGGGTTGTTAGCGAGAGAGGAGGGTTGCTGTGTATATACACGTTTGAACAGGAAAGCGCTTTGATATTTTCTTGAGCGTTTTTCGATAACACGGCAAGCAACTAATTTCCTACAATTGCTCAAATTGCAACATGTAATCTAATCTCTGGTAATTGAGATTACGAACCTTTTGCGATCTGTTCGGTAGTTTTTTTGTACCTCGAAGGTATTTTGGTTTACTGTTAGTGAGCGTAGTACAAATGAAATGGAATTAATACTGCCGTTTAATTTTTTTCAATGTAATATTTCATGTTTATATAGTTCAGATGGGCAACTGTCAAATAGTTTCACCCTTTATGGCTAGGCTCCCCTTTGTTCTTTATAAATGATGCTAATGATGCTGTTGAAGATAAACTAGCCTGCGCAGATTACATCAATAATTACCAAAGTACCGATGTGATTACAGTAATTGGTTAAAATTAACCTTTTATGCTTAATGCTCCATGGACGTTAATGATATCGGTTAAAAGTATGAAAGGGGAAATGTACAGCATAGTACAAATTAATAAAGACCGTTAAATGGACAGATCAATATCTCTATTGCACCAGTTGTGCGTGACAACACGTTCAAAAGACACCTGCGCAATTATGAAGAAAACTAAAGACACAACAACAAGCACGAGAAGAATCTTCTCGTCAACGTTGCCTTGTGATAGAAAATAAATATATTGTAGACAATGGCCCTCCATCAGAGCGGTAATAGAGCAGACCGTTTGGCTGACTTTGAGTCCTATAGGACACTTTACTACGTAGTACCTTGAAAACACTGGGACCTTTAAAGTGGATGTACGAGCTGTTTTGAAGAAAACATGTAAAAATAATTGAAACTATTTTTTACCGTCACACAATGGAACCAAAAGATCTTGGTATTTCGACTGACTGAATGCTTTAATTGATCTCTAATATTCTACAGAGTGCCGTTGACTAAGACTGCGTCTAAAATAAACATTCTGGAAACGTTAACGCGGCATCCCCGTTGCCACGTGCGCGTGTGTACGCCTGTGTGTGTGCACGTGTGTGTGTGTACGCCTGTGTGTACGCCTGTGTGTGTGTGCGCACGTGTGCGCGTGTATGCACTTGCGAGTGTATGGAGAGCGGTAGGTAGTGTCGCGGTTAGTGAATTGCACTACAAAGCCGGGGACCCGAGTTCAATCCCTGCTCACAGCCAACACCTGTGATGATTATCTGAACCGTTTCTGGGCCTCCCCTAGGTCAACGCTGCCTCAAATGAGTACCCGGTGCAGTGTATAAACATCGCACGAAGGAGACAAAGGCGGCCGGGCGTGGTGCTGGCCACCGACCCCCTCGTGTTGCCTTGCTGGCCTTCATAGGTGCTCGCTAACAGTGCTTGCCCCAACAGTCTGTTAAGGCTACACGGGGGTGCGGGATCTTTGTCTTTGTTGTGCACAGGTGGGTGCGCCACAGCCCGAGCGTGCTCTGCTTGGCGTCGCCGCTCTCCTCTCCGCCCTCCGCCAGCCCGGCACGGGCATGGCGCAGCCCTCGGCCGTCACGGCGCGTCGCACCAAGAAGCCGGGACGCATTCGCTTTGCGCCAGAGCCCGGAGTAGAGCGGGCCGAGGCTGCAGGAAACGGCAGCAGCGGTGGCGGTGGCGGAGCAGAGGAAACCGCGGGGCTGATTGAGACCGTCGCGACGGACGCCCCGGGTACGCGCGTCGCATCGTCGTGCGCATTCCAGCGTTGCGCTTTTTTAAGGAAGATGCAAGCCATGAGATGTTTGGGTTAGACCACGTAATGATGTTGCCAAATTGGTTGTTGTGTAACCCTTCACCGGCCGACATAGCTAAACAGGTGAAATTGTCAGAGGTACAGGCGTATAACACGCTGATTGTTATTGTGTCATCTCACCGGTGAATTGAAGAACTATTCTGACAACCAAATTCAGTAACAAGACACGACGCAGTGTTTGAAATGACACCAAGCATCCTCCTCAGGTCATGAAACCAGAAAGTCAGAATAACCTTTTGTTATGACAGCACAGGAGCAACCAATCACACGTCGTTAAAAAGCACAGCACACTTCGATGTTGGTAATGATGAGAGCTGTCCAGTTGAGGTTCATGAGGTCCTAACGACATAGGTACATGGCAATGTGACGGCTCTTCTGCTATAATAATAAAAAAGTTAAATTAACATTTCATTTTGTAAGACCTTGTCAAACAGGTCCCAGTAAAGAGCACAGAGATTCCCCGGCACTTGCCCGGCAGAGTGGTGTATGACGACATGCGGAGCGCCGGTTCCCACAATGCACCGTGCATTGTGACGTTTATTTATTGTCATGTCCTCTTCACATTGTCCTGGAAGGTAGAGCAGTCTCGCCATTCCGAGGCTACTAGAGGACGCTTTAGAGGCTGCACGATTGTGACCTTTAAGTCTTTTTTATCATTAACAAAGCCCCAAATGCGTTTCTTACAGCCGTTGAGACGCATCCTCGACATGCACTTGCAGAACAAGAGTAACCGCTGTTTGGTTGTGCATCTTGCTTGAAGTGTATGTGTAGTTTCAGCTGTTCATGCTTTTGGCATGGTATTTTTTTCCCACACAAAGCATGTACAGACATACTTTTGTAAAAATGAGTCCTCGTCATGTATTCATTTGGTGAATTTCCACAATTCGGGGTCATCATTCAATTCATGAATAACCGGGGGTGGTGGTGGTGGCTATGTAATCCTGCACTGTAGATGCGAGGCTTGGTGGATCGCACAAATTTTGTGAAACTCTCTTCCAGTGGGTGTTGAGGTGGTACAGCAAGTGGACTAATCACCGTCTGTTTCCAATTTGACCCTTGCGTGCGTGGGTTTTCTCCAGGTGTATAAACACTCAGTAATTGGCTGAAAACATCCTAAAATTTAAACTATGATGCAGGACCCTCCTGAAAAAGAGTCCTTGGACTCAACGTTGCACTCCTGGAATAAAAAAAAATCTCTTTTGTTATTGTGGTGTGTGTAGTCGATGCCACAGTGGCTGCAAGGCTTCCATGAGCCGAACAAATAGATACAAGTCCAATATAATCAGTTGTTACGCGCACTATTTGATGCATTTATCTTGAGCTCCATTTAGCGGATCATTTGATGAATCGTGGGATGCCCGGTTATAGAGCCAATGATCACACGCTGATCTGCTTCTCTCGCGACAGCTGGAGCTAGGAGTTGGGCCTGAATCCTCTTGATTTAACGTGTTGTTTGTGCAGCATCCCTAGCACGTAAATGAAGCTCCTCTTGTTTAATGCGTGTTTACGCGGGCTGTTTGAAGTGTCCTAACTCACTATCGTGCTCGCGGGAGATATGCATCCCTCCGCGTCTGTGATTCCCATGGTCTGAAATTTGCGGGATGCTGCCATTGTTTAGTGGATTTGCGCACAATTTGGTGCGGTTAAATTTCACGGCGCGGCAGTTGAAGCAATAGTGCAAGTTTCTTAAATCTCCCACGCCTCTGTCTGCTCAGCAGTCTCGAGGGGGTCGCACTGGTGCGATAACGTGCGAGTCCTACCATCTCTCGCAAGACATCTAACCAGTATGGAAGAGTAGGCTAAGTACCCTCTAGAAGGTCTCTAGAGCTTCCATTAGCAGAGGCCCTTCTACCAGAAGTGTATGTATGTTGAATTTCTTTCACACCGTACGTAGCCAACCGTGCTAATCGGAGGTGCGGGGGAAGGACTTGAAACCCAACACAAAAAGCAGTTGTGAAGATATTCGTTTTCAAACGATATGATATCAAAGTGCATCGCTCCAGTGGCTTCCTAATATCGGACTAAAGAGCGTTCTTAGATGGCAAACAATTGCAGTGCTGCATCTTTTTTTCCTCCCTTGCAGGCTCTGACGATTCCACCGGTGCCAGCGAGGACACTGCGGCCCGTGACCCCGGCCCGGACCCGTCCGGGCCCCTGCCGGCGCTGTGCCGTCGCGCGGCGCGACTCGGCCTGTCCCGCGCACGGGAACTCGGCTCCCTGCCTGCACCTCGACTTCCTCTCTGCCGTGCTGGCACTCTGTCCCACCGACGACATGTTCCGCTCGCTGCTTGGAGAAGACGACGGAGTGGCCGAGGCTCGCGCGAGCCGTCCGTCCGACGTGCGGCCCGAGGCGCGACCGAGTGAGGCTGATGAGCGGGAACGCGCCGACGAGGTCCTGGGACCGTTGCCGGCGCTGCGGTTCCTGCGTGACACGCTGCTGCCCTGGCTGGGCGAGTGCCGTGCCCCGGAGCGAGCCGCCCTGGTGGAGGTGCTGTTCAGCGTCCTGCGCGCCTGTCGCGATCAGAGGCAGCGCGCTGATATTTTGGACGACGTGTGCAAGGTGTGGCTTTCGAGGGGGAGTGCCTTGCGTGCGTCTGTGCGTATTTTGCTACCGTCGGTGTCATCGCTATTGAGTGACGCTGCTTGTGGTTGGTTTTCTCAGTGCCACGTGGTTGTGTTCGGGGAGACCAGGTATTAAGTCCTTGCTAATCAGTTGTAAGCCAGTCTCACTGCCCATGTGCTTGCCTACATGTCTTCTCTATCTGCTTGCCTGGCTATTTACCTTCCCACCTGGCTCCTTGCTGTCCTGCCAGACATCTCATCATCATCATTAGCCATGATCTCTCCATTGCTGCGATGTGACAATCCATCGAGCACTTGTGCACGAGTTGATTTCATCGCTTCGTCCCTGTGAAGAATTACACTCCGCTGCTCCTGATGCGGTTATCGGGGCTTGACCACCTGAATGTGAAATCGTAGTTGTTGCTCTGCGTCTACATCAGCCGTACGACAAGAAGAAGAACGTGGGCCGGGCGGCCGGTAGTTGTCCCTGATGGAACTCTGATCCATCGCCGGCATGATGTTCGTCACAAAGCCCCGTGGGGCGAGTGGGCATGCGATCGGTCGTTGGCGCGTGTTGGATCTTCGTCAGCGGTGTGAGGACATGACGCCGGCATGTGTGTGTGTGCGTTGCCCGAGAGGGCTGCTCGCTAATTTCAACATCCTATGCATCGTTAACGCTTTGTTTGTAATAAATCAGCGCGATTCTTTTCTTTTGGTTTTCAACTGTTATTCATCAAGAAAGGCAAGGGCAGAGAAGGCCACGGATGGGGCGGAGGGAAAAAAAATTGGGGGAAAAGTTTATGGTGTGTTTGGTCAGAAAGCGATATTCGCAATGAGCTGTAAAAAATCTAATTTGTATTTTACTTTTGCCATCCGCAACTGAAATAAGAAAAGCAATCTCGTAATTCATTTTCACAACAATGTAAGTCTCTTTAGGCTTATTATGATTTATCAGCTCATGGATTTAAACATATTCGTACGCTCACAACACATGCATCCAATCTTGTATGCGTGAGATAATGTACTTTCAGTTAATGACGATCATCATCGAATTATACGCGTTAGGATAATGCAGCAAATGAGAGATAACAAATGGGAGACATAACAAATTAAACGTAAAAACACATTGCACAAAGTTAATCGGTTGTTTTTCTTCACATCCACAGATGAATCTGGGACCGTCCGTTCTGCTGCTGCTCATTCAGAAGGTAAACACCAGTGCGCAGCAGCAACAACATCAGTGTGGACGACTCGTGCGACTGACTAATGCACCGTCACGAGTCGGTATGACCGACTCATGTGACTGACTCATGTGACGTCATGAATCGGTGTGACTGACTCGTGACTGACTAATGCACTGTCATGAGTCGGTGTAACTGACTCGTGTGACTGACTCGTGACTGACTAATTCACCGTCATGAGTCGGTGTAACTGACTCGTGTGACTGACTCGTGACTGACTAATGCACCATCATGAATCAGTGTAATCGACTCATGTAACTGATTCGTGACTGACTAATGCACCGTCATGAATCGGTGTGACTGACTCATGTGACTGACTCGTGACTGACTAATGCACCGTCATGAATCAGTGTAACCGACTCATGTGACTGACTCGTGACTGACTAATGCACCGTCACGAGGCCGTGTGACTGAGGGAATGGGTGAGTGAGCGAGTGCCTCCCGCAAATTCTAATTCTGTATTTGCAGGGCGATGAAGCTTACATTTTACGTAATTATACTTGAGCGAATGTTTCTAACTCGCACCTTAAAATATATACGTTAGATTTGTATCGATTTAAGTTGATTAATCGATCAAAACTGATAATGATGTTTTGTGGTCCATAACTCGGGCTGCTTTTAAAACGGTCGCCACCCCCACATCCTGCCTCGCGAAGACTGCAAACCTCCTGCAAGCCGCACCCATCGTGACACTGCTGATCATGCCGATGCCCGTCACCTAGCCTCGCACATCGCCTCCCGTCCAGCGGCACACATGGGAACACGTGTGTGAGACTTGTTTCCCCCCCCCCTCCCCCCGCCAACTAGTTTCGCGTTATCCGATTGGTCGAGTAATCGAACTGATTCCCATAAATATGCTAAATTCCTCTTGATATGCAAATTATTTTATCAAGGCGCTCTACCCCCCTCCAACCCAGCTTAAAAAAGACGCTCCAAGCCTGGGGTTGTCATTCAGACTGTCTTCTCGACACACCTGTTCTTCACCTGAGGACGGCTGCTTGCATTGTGGCCGAAACGTCGTGAGAATTATTTTAATTATGTTTTATTTTTATTATTTTATTATTTTATTATTTCCATACTACGTGACTTTACCGAAAGAACCAAGAAGATGATAAGGCGAGTAATCAATTGCTTTTAATGCAACGGATAGTGCAGCTCTGGTCACACATTCATGGCTCCCGTTTGGGAGAGGAGCATCCGAGCCGCCGCCAAACGAACGAACTGTGCAGAGGCCCTGCACAGGTGCTGTCCTGGGTAGGTCTTCCAGGAACATGACAAGGCCGAGTTTTTGTTCAGTTCTGCAAGAATGCACCGCCTCGGAACACTGCATTTACATGCAGTTCTCCCCCCACTTTGGAATTGTGAGATATTCTCGCCGGGTCGGGCCGTTAAACAAGACACATACTTTAGATATTACGTATACATCTTGACGTGTGTTTATAGCCGTAAACCTTATTGAGTCTCAAAGACTCACGTTTAAGAAGGTCGTGATTTACGATGTTTGGCCATTTAATTCTGGAGCATTTTGTCTACTGTTTGGATAAATTAACTCTTGGCAAAACATTATCGACTGATGATGTTGTTCGTGAGCAAACGATGCAATCTGCCACAGCAGCATGCTCTTGGTTGGGACAAATAGGCTTATTGTAGAGATTTCAGATTTTGTTCTGTGATATCTTCTTTGCAGGGCTTTACTCGTACACAAAGTGGTGAACTGCTAGTTGTGAGAGTTCCCCATGGAAAAGCCTTTTTGTATCGTGATATGACGCCAATAGTGCAGGGTAGGGCCGTGGTGTTTAGCAGCTAGTATCCACACACGCCTGGCCACCTTTGCCCCTCCATTGGTTAATAGTGACCACAGCATAGCAGGTACCCTTTGTCGGGTGAGTAAGTCATCTTTGGGGAGGCTTGGACCAGATTCAGATTAAGGCTTGCTCTTGCCTCCGATGTGTATCGTGAACTCGGGTATTCGGTATCGCAACACTGTGCTCACGAATTTGCCGCACCACCACCACCACGTCACCTTAAGGATACACGCACACTTGAACATAGAAGCGAGCGTCGTGATCATCGTCGTTGTCATCGTCGTTTGTGACTGCTCCTCGCATGCAGTTACCTCTCGATGTGCCAGCACAGACCGAGGAATTCTTTTAAACGTATATAAAAAGCGAGAACAGGAGAAAAAAAAGTTAATCTCAGCAAAAGCTCGTTAAGCGGAGAGGGGGTGGGGGGCGAGGTCCTGGGGCAAGCGCCCCGGCTGCCCTCTTCGCCCGGTTGTGACCCCATGACGACCCCCCATTCTAGTGGCAGGGGACCCAGCAACACAGCGGGGCCGTGAACCTGGGCCCCCGTGTCCCCGCTGTAAATAAGCGGAATTCCTGACTTTGGGGGGGCCAGTGGGGGTGATGGCGGGGGGCGGGTAAAGCATTGCATCCACCTCGCCCGTCATTCGCCTGCCCACTCGCTCGAAAACGTGGACGCACACACACACACACACGCGGAAGTACGAAAGCATTTTAACTCTCGACCCCGCACATTTGGAAGTCGTTAGGTCAGGCGGCGTTGGAGTGCGCCCGTTAACCGCACGCCGCCTCTTTCCCCTCTCGTGCCATGGAAAAGGTTCCCGGCGGACGGGAGGACAGGAGGGTGCCCTCCAACCGAATGGTCTTGGGGTTTCTTAATCTTTCCCTCTCCCCCGGCGCCTGCCAGCACGGGTGGTCGTGGTATCGCTGTGGGCCGTGCAGCCTTGATTTGCAAAGAGAGCGCTTGGGCAAATAAATAAATAAAGACGTGAATAATAACTTCCACTTAAATCATTTCCGAAACACAGCCAAGAGCTGTGTGCTAAGAAAATATATATATACACATGTCTGTTTCTGTGTTTGTCTGTGTCTTTTGTAATATTTGTGTGTATCTGCGCGGAGCAAATATTCTCACAATGCAAGTTGGTGATGTTGAACAGGCTGGTATTTCTCAAAAACTTAACTTTTTATTTTACCAGGTGAGGCCCACTGAGATGTATAGCTTTTTTTCAGAAACGACCTGGCCAGAAATGATAGCTCAATGAAGTGACTTAGCATGTGGAAATTATAGCAGCCAAATACTCAACGGATGCGGATTCTAAATGTGGAGGGAAAAACGCAGAGGACCCGGAGAAAAAGCCACACAACCACTGGGAGAATTTTCAAACTCTAAATATAGACGCGTCAGGGTCGGGATCGAACCCACGACCTCCTGTATACCAGGCGAGGTAGTTAACATCTCGTCACCGTGGTGAACATGTCTTCTGTAACGAATAGGGCCCCATGTATAATCTCAGAATTCTCGGCATGACGTCAGCTTGGCTCCCCCTATTGTGTCGACTCGGTTTATTTATTTTTTCGTGATGCGACGCATACTTGGGAGCTTGCGGTTTTGACAATCTGTTTTTGTTTAGGGAATAATTGGTTTCGCTTTTTTTATTTATACAAGTTTTTTCTTCTTCTCCCTGTAGAGCCTTCGCATTTTTGCATTGTTTTGTGCGGCGACCACCCTTCGTGTGGCCCGAGACACGAGCACGGAATGCCTTCGCAGCATCAGCCACCACCATCACGGGTGGACTGTAAACAATAATTTGAAGAGCCTTTTTCATTTATCATTCGTTTATTTACAATACAAATACAGTGTAGATGTCTGAAAATGCGCGTAGCAAAGCAGTGACCGTATTTCACAGGCTGTCGGTAATGGCAGGAGAGCAAAGCATATCTCGAATACTTGTCTTGCCACTTCTATTCTGATCTTTCGCATTACTTACCTATTTTTCCATGAACTCCTATGTGTACTATCTTGTGTAGCTATATATAAAAGTCCAGCTGGCTGACCCCTACCGTCTATAAACAGTCTCCTGAAACACTATTTAAAGTGATTGCTCTTTTATTAGGAGCTCTCAGTTCATCGTTGTCGTTAAAACATTTCGCTATTAAAGTCGCCGTGTCTGGTTGCAGTCGCTGATGCCCTCCTGTGTCCGGCGTCTGACCGCAATGCGCACTCAGCACCTCCGATTTGCCGACCGAACGTCAACCCGGGCTTCCTTTGCCACGGAATTTCCCAAAATTCCCCCGTGCGCGGTGAAATTGCAAACAAAGGATCTCGCCGGCTTTGTAAATAAGAGACGTGCGGAGAGTTAATTTCACGGTTCGGGCAGAACTTGTTGCTTTAGTCTTGATAGAAACCAGCCCAACGCCCGATCGAAGCTCACCTCTCAGTCTTGTCTCCCCACACAGGCCACAGCCACCTGTTTCCTGTAATCAGTGTTCGCTCACTTGTGGTTGTGTTAAGGCTGCTTTTCGTCATTTATTGCAGGGAAGGGTTTACCAAATGCGTAAATGGTAGCCCAAATTAAAATTCCACCAAGCCTGTTATTTTATCATTCCTTCATGGAAAGCCCTTGTTATTTTCGGGGTAATAAGGGGTAATTAACGGATGGCTTTAATCAGTAAAAAAAAACACCAGAGTTAATTTCTTGGAATAATTGAGCACAAATGTTTTTCCATTTTCCATGCCGGATGATTAAAACCGACGTTTGCAGTGGCATCTGTTGTCTCCACTAACCACGAAACAACATTCTGAGCTTTATAAAAAAAACCCCAGATGAAACATTCTACCATCGATGGGTCAAAACCACTCGCCCGATGCCAGATAAAAAAATGTTACATTTGCTTTGGCAGTTAAAATTCCACAGATTTTCAATCAAGACTTCTTTAGCCAAAGAACCTCTCGCACGCACAAATTCCAAAGCTCAGATGTGACCCTAGGGAGTTGGTACTTGAAAGAGGAAGCCTCCGACACTTCTTAGTGGAGAATTAAACAACCCTCTTTGGCGTGCGGCACGACCAGCAGACGTCTTGGTCTGCCCGTCGGTGGCTGACAGTCTCGTGTTTGGATAAGATCCAAATTAGGGGGGGGAGCCTTGTAAGCAGCACCTCTCG